TTGTTACGAACAACAACTTTCGAGCTTCCAAACAAGAAATCGGAAAAAGAATTATCTTCTAAGAATTTGTTATTTAATAGTACCATCTTTGTTCTATTTTTAAAAGAATGAAATTTAAGCTAATAGAACAACTTTAGTTTTTATTGAAATATTTTTATTTATGTTTTGAAATTTCATGTATGAATGTATTGTGTACTGTTACGGATTGCTTTGTGTCATAATCTTTTTTTATGATTATTTAATTTATTATGAGATGAATAAAGAAAATAAAACAAGTATTTAAAACGTTTTTTCTTTCTCTTTTAATTGTATTGAAACTTTATTTTAAAGATTTTTATTCAAAGCTTGAAGAATTAAAACAGTAAAATTTTCAATTATTTTAATTTGTTTTCCTAATTTCAATTAGATTTAATAAGAATTAAATTTAATTTGTTTTGCTAATTTTTTTTTTTCAAACTGTATTACTATTTTAACTGCTTTTTCTTCTTATTTTTTTTCTTCTTTCAGAAATATTTTTATTGAAAGATTTTTTGTTTTCAATGTTGACTATTTATCCACTGTCGTGAAAAATTTATTTTTTCCGCACGAGATACTTCTTTCTTTATTTTATGCCTATTTTATAGACTTGCACTCGAATAGATGTCAATCAAAAGTATCAAATAATAATAATAAATAAATAAAGAGAGATAATGTGTTGCCAAATATAAATTGTGTAATTTTTAGAAAATAATAAAAAATAAAAAAACTTTATAAAGAGCGATAAGAACCATTTCCTATTTGAATTGTTATAAGTTTCACCAACGAGTAAAAAGTTTATATCTGCTTATTGAGTCATACATTCTGTGTTCTTAAGGTTAAACGTTTTTTTTTTTTTTTTTTTTTCCTTCCTTCCAAGTTTAAATGATTGTTCAATTCCTGCTATTAGTTCACACTCTTCCTATATCTTGTTCAAATTTTCAATCGTTTATAAAATACTTTTTATACATCCACTCAAGTACAAATACATTTTTTTAAACTTGTAGTGGATGATGATAATACAGTTTTTTCAAATATTAATTCATTAATTAAATTTAAATTTTTTTTATTTGGGAGAAAAAATTTTTTACTTATTTAATAAAAAGTAACTAAAATAAAAAAAATTTCTTTGTTGATCTAAGTAGGTAATTGTCTATTTTTTATGTTTGCCATGTTAACAAAATGTTTTTACATAAAGCTAATATAAATTGTTTATTTTGGAGCCAGAATGTTCTGTTCTCATAGAAAATAATGAAATATTTTTTAAAGAAATATTTTTAAGAAGAAATAAGCAATGATGAACGCAAATCAATATTGAGGGTCTGGCGAGTGGTGCCTCTTAGCATATTTTTTTTTTTTATAAATGATCTTTTTATAAGGTAACTTTTTTATTATTTATAATAGTTAACTTTGAGCCGTGGTGGTTCAGGGGATAGAGCATTCGCCTTCCAATGTGGTGATCTCGGTTCGAGTCCAGCTATAACTAGTCGATATGAATTCCGCACCCGGCTCGCACCAACCACAGTGCTGACGGAAAATATCCACAGTGGTAGACGGAGTTAGAGTACTTTGCCTTCAGGCTGACCGTGTGAGGTTTTCGTGAGTTACGCAAATGTAGGTTACTTCGAAAATAAAAGTGCAAACTTCTCCCAATATTTGATCCAGGAGTTGCCTTGTCTTCTGGATTAGGTTCAAAATTATAAGGATACGGAGTTGAACATAAGTAGTCTAAAATTCAAAATTGGGTTCGACGACGACGGTTACAAAATGAAATAGAACCAAATGAAAAAATAATAATTTTCCACTTTAATTTACTAATTTAAATTTGTTTTTCTTTAAATAAACATAACAGCTATAACATCAAACTATCTCATTAGTCTCGCCAGTTTTGCCCTCGTTTTTTGCTAGCTACAGGTAGGACTAGGCGATGTAGGAAATTTTATATCGTGATATATCGACGATTAAACATCGCGATATAACATAAATTCGAAAAATTTCTTTTAAGTTAAAACTACACAATCAGAAATTTTAAATTAATCAAAATGTAAATAAAATAAAAATAGTAAATCTTTAACAAAATAAAATGTTAATTTAAAAAAATGCTTCTGTAACATCAATAGCATTGTTTAATTTTTGTGTAAACGAAATATTAAAAATTATAAAAAATAATATTAAAAATTATCAAGCGAATAATATTTATCATAAAAACTAACAAATAACTTTGATAGATAGAGAAATTCTTAAAAAATAAAGAGAAAATGACTAGAAAAACTAACGAAATACACTTACAAAGAACAAAGTTTTTTTTCCCTTCCAGTAATGGATTGAGTTCAGAACGAAAATTCTCAAGATTTAATTATTTCTCGGACAAGTAACAAGCGTTTTCAAGATAGCGCGGGCAGAGGCCTCTTAACACGATTTCATTGTAGGGAAATCGTATTTCTTGCAATTATTTTTATCTTAAAAGTTAATACTTTAAAGTGTTTAACTATTTCAAAAATAATCAGAACAGTCCTTAGTCATATTTCCCACAATAACTGCGAACTATTTTAATCTTCTTTCCTACCACGATGGTTCTCTTTTTTTTCTTAAGTTTTCGTATAAAAGTCTTTTGTTCGAATCTATGGTTAAAATAATCTTTGGCTAAAAAGATTGTTATTTGAAACTTTGTTGCCATTAAAAGTGACATTAGTTGAGAGCCTTGGATAATAAGTCGAAGGAAATCTGATTCCATTTCCCTTCTTCCCTCCCACTTTTATGTTATTAAATACGAAATTCCGATTGGAACACTATTATTAAGAGGGTGGGTTAAAAAAAAAAGTTTTTTAAAAAAAAAGATAGATTTTTTTTTAGTCGTAACGTCATGAGGGCAGCCCCCTAATTATTTCTCAAAACTTCTGAATTTTTGTAAGTTTATTCTTTTTTTTTTTTTTTTTTAAATNCAATACAAAAAAAAATAATGTTAAGTGAAAAGTTGATAATTTTTTATGATTATCACTTTAATGGAAGTAGATAGTACCATAACTGGTAACTATTAATGATTTCTTTTCCTTTTTTTTTAAAAATAAAAAAAAAATTTAAAAATGTTTATAATTGTAATTGGTATAGTTAATTTGTTTAATTTATGGTATTAATTAATTTGTTTAATTCTGCACTACTGAATTGATTTTTTTTTAAATAGGAAAAATCTTGCGATTTCTCCTTCACTTTGTGCCTATTGTCTATGTTGACTGGTTAAGCTCTTAGTTAATGTGTCTAAAGTATTTAATGAGCAGAGTTATATTTTAACACTAACCTCTAACAGAAATAATTATTTATTTTTTATCTAATTACTGAATCTTTATTAGCTATTTTTATTCAAGTCAAATGTAGTTCAGAATTAGTATTGAATAAAAATTAAAGATGTAAATCAGCATGGAGTAAAACAAGGTCAAAATAAATTATTCCACCTAAAAAGTTGAAAACTTACTAGTATATATAAATTAAAGAATTTCATTGTACAAAGTAACATATCCCCCCTCCCTTTAAATTCATTATTACTCACTGTTCTCCCTTTGCGTTTTTAAAAGGGTGGGCCCACCTTGCTTGTCCTTTGATCCCAAGAAATACCCCCCTTTGTCTTTTTCTCTCTCTCTCTTTTTTTTTTTTTTTGTAGAAATAAACCGCCTTCCTTTAGAAACACTGGATTTTTATTCATATTCCATTAAAAAAAATTAATTAACTGTTTAAATAATAATTACACACTGATAAATAAAATTCTCTGTGTTTATGATTTAATTCTGATTGCTGTTACAAATATTTACTTTGCTAGGATCAGTCTCAACTGGTTGAAATATCTTTTCCCAGGGAGGAAGAAGTATTCATAAATTTTTTTTAATAAATATCTTAAAGAAAAAAAAAAATCACCTTTAAATGTTAATTTACTCATAATTTTTAGTTTACAAAAAAAAAGCTTTCAAGTTGTTAATCAATTAATCATTCTTTGTTAGTTTACTTTAAAAAAAATTTTGCACAGAGATTGTCTTTTGGCATGCCTTTATAATTATTTTTATAAAATAAAATTTTTTCTTTTATTTTGATAATGAGGGAGGGAGAATTACTTTTTTAAATTATGCACATAAAATAGTAAGAGAGTGTAATTCAAGAATTGTTGAGGATAGAATTCTGTTATTACATAATATTACACGATTTGATATATATTGATTTGATATATATTTTTCCGGTGTAAGTTACCCTTTCAAAACTCGAATTGCCCTTTTCAAAGAGAAAGTGCCTTGCAATTTTTTATTCCTAGGGAAGGGTGAACTAAATTTGTATTGCATATCTGTACTCTTTAACAAAAATTGCATATGATTTGTTATACTTTTTTTTCTTTAATTTTTAAGACACGTTGATATTGTTTATATTACACTAAGGAATAATTATTATTTTTTGATATTAAATAAGAATTCTTCATCGAAGCTCCCGAACACCAAGAAAAAAAATTTGTTCTGGGTTGCTACTCCAGGGGAGAAACCTGGAAAATACAGGAAATTTAAAATGAAATTTTCAGTTTTTCCTTACAAACTGGGAAAATACAGGGAATTTTGTTTCTTATTTTCGTTTTTTAAGAAGTGGTGGCCACTCAAAGCCCATTCTATGGGATATTTAAGGATGATATTTCTGCTTTACTAAACAGTTTCATTTACTATTATAGCATTATTTGTTTTAAGTAGATTAAACTGTTCCTTATTTCTTTAAGTTTTTTATAACTAGCTTAGACAAGAGCACAGTGATTATGCATTTCCCCTTAATAAATTGTGTATAATACATGCAGGGAAATCGCAGGGAATTTTTTTATATCCAGATTTGAGTGCAACACTGTTATTCTATTTGTTCCAAAAAAATTATATACCTCTATCTTATTATTACTGTGGATGAAAAAAATGTGTAATCAATTACATATTTCAGTTATCAATTCAATTAACAAAATATTTTTGTTTTAGGTGCTGGTGAGTCTGGGAAAAGCACTATAGTCAAACAGATGAAGTAAGTAATTAATTTATTATTTCACTACATCATTTGTCGTTATGTTGCTATACATTTAGCTGTCCTGCAAAAGAAAAATCCCTTCAGCCCCCTACTGGTCCATTCTGAGTCCACCCTAACTGTTGATCAAAATGGTACTTGCTACCAACTATCCAAATTACCAACTTAGAAAGCTGAATTTCAGAATGTTAAGAAAGAAAGTCTTTAATAAAAAATAAAAATTTCTAACAGCCAACACATTCTGTTTAGTGTGGTAAATTACACAGGTTGCGTAGCGCTTTTGGAAAGTGCTTAAAGGTGCTTATTTTTTATTAACCTTTTTTAAAAGCCCTTAAAGATGCTTTTTTTTATTCGGAGTTTGTAAAAAGTGCTTAATTTTCTATCTTTTAAAAGAGATTTTTTCTTTTCCGTGCCGATTGTGGTTCTAAATTACAAAAAATACATGATTTTCTTAATTTTATTGATTTTATGTTAATAAATTAAGAACTTTAAACCATAGAAAAAAATAATTTTTATTACTTTGCAGATCCTGATTATGTTTTTTTGTTGGAAGATTAAAAATATTTTTCGAGTGCTTAAAAACTTTAAAAGGTGCTTAATTTTTGTTGAAACGTCTGGCTATGCATCCTGTTACATATAAATAAAGTGTAATGAGTTCTGAAAATAAATCAAACTGCTAATATATTGCTAGTATCAAAAAGAAACATTCAAAATTAATTTATTTTAAAAGTATTCTTTAGCTTTTCTTTGGAGCCCATGTGTCTAATGCAGGGTGTGCAAAAACCTTGTCTATGTGGGTTTCTTCATGAAAAAAACCAGATTTCTCCCAGACATAAAAGGGTTTATTTATTTTTTTCTAACATATTGTATATGTATATATACAACATATAAGTATAAGATATAGTATATAAGTCTATACTGAAAAATTATCGCTAGATAGTTGCCAAAGGAATAAATAAAAGAAATATTTAGGAGAATAACTATTTCAGTCATTTTTCTACCTTCTAAATGTTTAATGAACTGCATCATGATGAAGTTACTAGAATGATTATTTTAGTAAAGCGTATGTGATTAGTTTTAAATTATAAATATGCATTCCTGAAATGAAATGCATATATCTTTTTGTAGCACATGATGTGTTCATTTGCATTTTTCAGTGTTTGAATTCATTCTGTATCGTTCAATATACAAAAAAATGTCTTTTGGGGGAAATTTTGGTTTGGGGGTACATAAGAGTCTAACACTGCTGCTTAAACATGCTACTAATTATTATAGTCATTACTCAAAGTTTTCAACTCAAACAGAAAAGCTTACTTTCTCTCAATAAATAGTATTCTTTTGACAACAATATCAGGTTTTGATCATCAAAATGCTTAGGGTTACCTTAAACTGCAATATTTATTGCATATTTTGCCAAACCTCCGGAACTATAATTGCGGAAATCAAGTATTTTTGTAGTAATTTATAGATTTTAGTACTAAGTCAATCTAAATTTTCAAAATGTATTTTAGCAATAACACTTACTATATAAGTTTATTTTGATCATAAAACAGTTACTAAAAATAAAATAAAAACTCATGATATTTTGGGCATTTATAAAATTTTTGTACATTATATTTATATTATTAACAATGATTGGTGATAATAGTTCAGTTTACCTTAACATTATAACACCCCCTCCAAAAAAAAGCTCTTTTAATTTTGTGAAGCAATGTTGTTTTCTCTGTTTCAGAATAATTCATGAATCTGGATATTCCAAAGAAGATTGTTTGCAGTACAGACCTGTTGTCCACAGCAATACTATCCAAAGTTTAATGGCTATTGTGAAGGGTATGGGTCAACTCAAAATTGAATTTGCTGATCCATCGAGGAAAGTAAGCATTCGTTTCTTTGATCTTCACATTGTATCTGGAATTATGATTTTGGCAAAAGAAAATCTGGGAATGTTACTTTTTTGCCTTAAGAAGCCTGGAAAATGATTTCTTACATTTAGTCAGCAATGCATAATATTTCTTTTTAGATAAATGTATTTAAAGGTTAACTGTACATATGAAATAAAAACGCAACTATTCGTTACATATCTAGTTATTTATAAATTGGTTGTTTCCATTTTGAATTAAGTTAGTTAGAAGTAGGCATTCATATTATATTTTAATAAATTTTCTGTTAAATATGCAAATAGTTATAGCTTTTTCAAATTATTCATCGTGAAGTCTGTCAGTTAGTATTGTGAACTTTGTTTTTTTTTCTTCCTAAATATTTTGTTTTATTTCAGGATGATGCAAGGCAGTTTTTCACAATAGCTGGTGCTTCCCAAGATGGGGAAATAAATTCTGAATTAGCTGCAATAATGAAAAGACTGTGGCAAGATAGGGGCCTGCAGCTGTGCTTTTCACGATCAAGAGAATATCAGTTGAATGATTCAGCGGCCTAGTATGCTTCTAAATTTACTTATTTTAAATGCAAGAAATGTTTTTACTGTGATTGTTATTTATAGAGTTATGTTGTAATTGTGACTCTAGTTACTGAGTTAACTCTATAGAAATAGTATTTTATTGTCATAGACCAGGGATGACGAACCAATGGCACGCGTGCCATTTATGGCACGTGACACAATATTCTGAGCACGCCACCGACCACAAAGTTCATTATAAAGCATATTAACAAATAAATTGAAATTCACAAAAAACAAAAAAAACAACAAAAAAAACAATGATTAACAAAAAAATTTACAATTAATTCCAAAAAACAATTAATAACCATAAAAAACAAGCCAACAATAAATAACTAGCTAAAAAAAAATTAACAGTCCGGCTTAAACTAACATCTTACAACCTAATATAAGTTATTTGTCATCTAATCTGCAACAACAGAAGTCACACTGATGTTACTTTAAGTTGAATTACGCGTATAACTGAGAGATTGCAAAAGGTATTTTTTTCATAGTAAATAGTTTTGAGTTGATAGTATTTAGTGTTATTATTTTCCCAATAATCACGAAGTCAAAATTATTTGACGGCACGTCTATGACTTTCACGCCACAATTTTTTGAAAAATGGCACGTTGGTGCATATAGGTTCGCCACCCCTGTCATAGACTGTCGCTATTTTTTATTACAGCTATTTATACTATGAGGACTGTATTGTGAAAAAGGAATATTTTAAATAAAGGGCTGGGGGAGAAAAAATAAAATTATTACAATATTTATTACAAAAACCTGCTTTAATTTACAAACTCATACCTGCCAAGTCTCCTGTTTTTTAACGTTGACTCCTGTATTTTACGACTATCTCCTGTTTACCCGTTTATTCTCAAATTTCCCTGTATTTGTACAAGAAATTTAAAAGAAGAAAAAAATTGATGATATAATTTCCGTTGATGGCAATGTTAAGATTTGTATACATATTTTTTTCTTCGCAAAATGTAAGTGTTTATCTTCAAATTTTGAATTTCTCTTTTTGACTTACATGATTATGCATGACATATCAAAGCTTCACTCGTTGTTAAAATCATCGTACCTAAAAAATTTTGCTAGTAAAATCTCCGTTATTTTATTTCTCCATTGCTGGCAGGTATGATTTTTTTAATCAACCATAATTAATAATTAATTTTTGAGACATACAAAAAAGTATTTATTTTTTTTAGAAAAATAGTATCTTTTTAATAATTCTTATTATTTGGAATATTTATTTTGACCTTATCTTAATTTTACCGTCAATTTTATCTTTAGTGAGTGGCTTTTAAATGTAGAGTTTTAAAGTTGAAGAATACCTGCGCTTTTTTTAAAAAATCTAATAAAAAAAAACTCATTCTTTTCTAATTAAATGGGATTATTTTTTTGTTACATAGCTGCTAACTCTACTGAATTTTACCAGTTTCTCTTGGTCTACTGGTTTTATTAAAATTCTCCTGATTTTTGTACCTTTTAGAAAATTCCCTAAAATTGAGGAAGTTTCTTAAAAAAACCCTATTGAAATAGAATTTTTGTACAAATTATTGCTTGCTTGCTTGAATATTTAAATAAGTATTACTAATACATGAAGTGAACCTCTTTTATAGAAATCAGTTCAAAACTTTCTTAAATGTTCAATTTATTTTTATTCAGAACTCTTTTTTTTTAAATGGTTTAAAAAAATATTGACTATCTCTGATGAATTAAATGATATTCAAAATTATGAGTATACATAATACATAATATTTCAAGTATGTTTTATGTCAATCATAACTGGAAAATATAGTTTTTCTATTTTGGTGACTGTAAAAATCTCCAAAACCCCTTATGTATAATCATGGGTGCCACTCTTCAGTCCCAGGGACTGAAATCAGTCTTGAGAAAAATCAATAGACTAATAAATTCTATCAATTAAATAAATTTTTCTTTTTTTTTCATTAGAAATTTTTAAATTTTTTTTTTTTTTCGAAATAAAAAAATATTGTATCTTAATGAAAACATATGATATGGTATTGATGTCAGGACTTTAATTTATCTTCTTTTTGTCAGCTTCACTAAATCTCCTTCTTTAAAGTCTTGACAAGGATTGACTGAACTTTATCTACTTGTATAATTAAATTTTGTACTATTAATGAATCTAAGTCTGCTCTAGTTTGCTTCCTCCACCCTAACCCATCGTCATGCTGGTCAAAGTTAAATCAAGATTATTTTTTTAAGAAAGAAAGAAATTATAGAGCTAGAGCAAAAAATAAGTAATGGTGAAGTGAAAAACAGGGATACGAATGGTTTCAGATTGTTCAGTAATAGTTGTTAAGAAATATACAAGGTTGGCTGTTATTTATGTTTCGTTTGATAAAAAAACATAAAATAAAAAATTATAAAAAATAATCAAATGATTGATTTAATATGTAAGCTAATTTCAAGGAAAGGTAAATTTTGGTGTCAGTGTGCTATAAATTTCTAAAAGTTTGGTAAACAACGCTAGACAGTATTATTTGGTCCAAAAATGAGTTCAGTCTTGAAATTTTTTTAGAGTGGCACCCATGGTATAATATATTTAGTACATTATGCAACAATTATCATCAAATTTATTTTATTTCTTGAAATCTAGACTTTTTCCTATCTATGTTGGCAGCTATGATATTTAAAGTATTGTTAGTATGTTATACTTTTTTTTTAAAGTCATTGCTTTGAATTACCTTTTGCATTCTGTATTTTTAATTTTTTTCACTTTTTCAGTTATTTAAATTCACTTGATAGAATTAGTCAATCCAACTATATTCCTTCTCAGCAAGATGTACTGCGAACCAGAGTGAAAACCACGGGAATCGTTGAAACTCATTTCACTTTCAAAGATTTACACTTCAAGTATGTATTCTCAAGAAATAGAAATGTTTCTTTTGAAACTCTTCTACTTTGTTTTAGAAGTTTAATATGTGATTGTTTTTTTGTAATAAACTTGTATTCAACGATCAATAAATTAAAATTCAAAAATCATAAATTGACATAAGAGAATTTTCCTGTGTGCAATAAAATTTTATCTTTAAAAGCTACAAGGGAAACTGAATTAATAAAACTAAACAATAGTTACATACGTAAACATTGTGAATATATAAAAATAAAACTATAAAATTTTTCTGTAATATATTTTCTAAAAACTATTCATGGTGCGTAGCTTTTTTAAAAAGTACTTAAAAGTGCTTATTTTCGTTTTTTAAAAGCCCTTAAAGGTGCTTTTTTCAGGTTATCTGCATACCTGGAAAGTCATGAATTTCAGTATTGAACAAAATTTGTCATTAAATGTGTGATTTTTACTATTTTTTTAAAAAAAAAATCATGGAAAGTCATGGATTTAGGTCTCCGAAAAATCTAATTTTTACAATGGAATCCACCCCCCAATTTCATCCTGTTCCAAATATCTGAATTCCTTACAAAATCATCGCTCAGTCATATTTTATTAGAATATAAAATGATTTTATCATGTTCTTTAAAAATTATGGTGTTCTTTCAAAAAATGAAAGAAAAAGCATCATTTCTAGAGTGAATTATCTTTTAAACTTTGGTAATTTAAGAATTTTTATTATTTACTTTTTTTAATTTTATCAATTTAAAATTCTATTTGAAGCAAACCAGTCATTGGTGAATTTTTTTTAATTCCGAATTGAAAACAGAAAAAATCAGAAGTATTTCTTTCTTTTCTGATGAACAAGAAAAGTATCTTTAGAATATAATTCCGCAGAAAAAAAAGGAGAGAAAAAAATCATTTGCTTTTGTATTTTTTCCAGCTATTTTATTTTTTTCAACTCTTTACTCAGTTTTTTGAATTTAAAATCTATAAATATGAAGATGCAGAGTATAACAGTTTAGGTTATACCTATCATTTCAATTAATGTTATTATAATGCTTTTTTAAATTCATTGTTGCGTGTTTGTGGGAGAAAATAGTTACTTCATTAAGTCATGAAAAATTCTTGGAATTAGTCATGGAAAGTTATGACTTTGAAAATCTAAAATGTAGCAGATACCCTGTTATTTTTTTTATTCTGTGTTTTTCAAAAGTGCTTAATTTTCCCTTTTTGAAAATGAGATTTTTTTCTTTACCTTGTTGATTTTCGTCCTGTATTATGAAATAGCATGCTTTTCACATTGTTCTATTCAAAGTTTTCACAATTCATTTGGTTCATAGCTTATGATAGCACCAATCATGTTACATGTTTGATGAAATACTCGTGAATGACTACTGAGCTGGATTCGGTGAGATTCTGGCCCACTCATGTGCAACTCTGCTGCATTTTGCAAGATATTCTCAATTTCAGGCTTCATTTTCCACCCTCTGAAATTGAACCGGAAAATCGCTAAATTTTTTAATCATGGCTACTATAATCAAAAAAAGAGTTCCTTGTTATTAACTAGTTATTTTATCATGATCATGCAAAGTCTTTGAAAATTATTTTGCATTTTGTTTAAGTATATTAGGCTTAAAAATATTTTTTGAGTGCTTAAAAAGTACTTAAAAGGTACTTATTTTTGTTGTAAGATATGGCTACTCACCCTGTAAACTATCTTAGCTGCATGCATGTTGTATTAAAAACATTAGTTTAATTAATTCTTCTGTATTTTTTAGAATGTTTGATGTTGGTGGTCAAAGATCAGAAAGAAAGAAGTGGATCCACTGTTTTGAAGGTGTTACCGCTATTATATTCTGTGTTGCACTAAGTGGATACGACTTAGTGTTAGCCGAAGATGAAGAAATGGTAATTTAAGCTTTATTTCTGTATTTTTTTATCAAAAGAATGTTTTATTTTAATATTTTATGATATGTAATAACGTAATTGTACTAACTGTGTCATTTATCAATCACTTTTCAACATTATATTTTATTTTCAATATAACAGCTAGCAAATATAAACCAGAGTCTGTAGTTGTCCTGATTTTTTTGATGAGAAATATTTTGTTGTGATTTTTAGCATTCTATTCTGATTTTTGTTTCTCTACAGAACCAGGGTTCCCACTGTAATTGAAAAATCTTTGAAGCCCTTGAATTTTGTTGAAAAAAATTAGGGTCCCGAAAAGTCCTTAAATTTTGTGATAGGGTCCATGAAAATTTTTTAATTTAATTTTTGTTTTAGTAATTTTCAAAATAGTAATAATAATCTTTCCTTAAAAAAAGTATGAAAAAAAAGTAACTACAAGGCAAATGATGGAAATTTTGATCGCATTTTGCATTGCAATGTTTTCCAGATTACATTAGATTACAACCATATAGATTTTTTCACACAAATGATTAGTAAATCAAGCATAGTGTTCTGCATTAAAGTAATCAAAGAATCACGCAAAGTGTTTTATATTAAAGTGGTTTATGTATCAGTGGTTATGTATCTTAGTTTGTCCTACATCATATGTGTTTTGTAAAGTTTTGTAATTTCACAATTATTGATTTTTTTCATGCAATGATAAACAGGATTGATTCCAAAAGACAATACAGTAATTGTATTGTAGAATTTTTTAATGGTTTAGTGAGAAATCATCCAGAATTACCTTTGTATAAAAGTGTTAAGTGGCATATTTAGTGTGTTTCCATTTCAAAATTATTGAAACCTTTATTTAAATTAATTTCATTAAAAAAGTTTTGAAATAGACTACAAACTCAATCAAATATTGGTTTGAGTCAGTTATCAACCCTTTGCTTACAGGGTATCATATAGTACCAACATATGTGGTTCATATGTTGTACCAGCCGTAAGCAAATGGTTAATTGACACTGTTTTTTTTAATTTATTATTAAATAAACATATAGATGATTGTGCTCCGGAAAAAATCCGGATTTTTCACTAATCGCTATCCGAAAGTTTCCGGAAATACAAGGCCCAGAAGTTTCAAGAAATCATTGATCACATGTATCAGTGTATTCATTACAGAAAAAAAATGAGAGAGAATTTCTCTCCCTTTCTTAAAAACAGGGTGAGATTTCAAAAAGTTAAGTGAGATTTCTGAAAATTAAAAAAACACGAATAGACTTGGAAAAAAATTATTTCTTTAATTATAATACATTTTTCACATCTTCCAATTGAATATTTTTGCTGCATCATCATATGGAAAATGTTCTATATCTACTTTGACTGTAAAATATCTGTATTTGTTTCGTTTTGACCGTTTCTACCGACATTTGTTTAATTTTCTTTTGTCCGTTACGGAGTAGAAGATGTCGCATTAACAAGGAAGGTATTTGTTCATCTTACATTCATGCACAAAAAATTTGAACGTTTTAAATGAAGAAACCTTACCTACGGTGAGCACGTGGTTGCAGAGAAAGGTGTTCCGTGGTTCGGGGGGGGGGGGTGCTCTGCTGTTCGCACCGGTTCTGAACAATACTGATAAATAGGGAGGCTAGATAACAAGGAACGATGCTCAAAATAATGAAAGATCAAGGAAGAAAAGTGAAATGGATTTTATTCAAAATGGCAAACGACGAAATTTTTCCAAAATTCGTGCATTTTATAAAGGATTAATAAAGTGCGCGAACTTCTCGCATTAATCGTTTTTTATTCCGAGAAAAGAAAAAAATAGGCGAGATTCTCACATTCTCGCGCTGTAGTGAAAACACTGATGTATGCATAAAATTTTTATATATTTTTATTTAAAATTATTGGAACTTGAATTTATACCTGGCATCTCTTTCATTTGTAAATATTTTTTCTGGCAGTGATAAATGTAATAAGAGGGAAAAGTGAACTTATCATTTAAATTATGCTGCATATAATTTATTTAGAATTTTATGTTTTGAAAATATCAATGATTTAAATTAATAATGACATACATTTTTTGAAATGCGTCATTAATGATTTTACTCAAGAAATGTTCAGGATTTTTGAGCTGGGCTCACAATCACCCCTGTAAACAACACTATAAAAATTTTCCATGCATTGATTTGAAGCGAATATGAGTTATTCAGCACAGTATACTCCAGATATCTAAAAATTCAAGAGACGCTAAAAAAATTTCGAGATAACAAGTTCAGAACTAAATATATTCTAAAATATTACTCTAAAAGTAGAGACATATGTTATAATAACTATAAGTCTAAATACAACAATGATAATTTTATTTTAAAAAGTAAAACTAAAGAATTGGCTTACAATAAACTTACAGGGTGTTTTTTTTTTTTTTTTTTTTTTTTTTTTTTTTTTTTTTTTTTTTTTTTNTTTTTTTTTTTTTTTTTTTTTTTAATTAAAATGAGGTGGGTATATAATGCCATGGGGAAAATATTTTTTTGACTTAACAAGGTTTTTGAGATATGGACTATATTAATAAAATTATTCTAAAAAATGTTCCTCTTTTATTAATAGTTTATTTCTCTAAGCAAAATAATTCTTAAAAAATAGTAATTTTATACCTTTGGCAGTAAAATTTACTAACACATAGCATTGTATTTTAAGTAGAGTAACTTGTATTACATTTAAGCCTCTTTTTTTTTTTTTTTTTTTTTTTTTTTTTTTTTTTTAAGTTGTATGGTTTATGTATACTATTCCAAAAAATGTCCAAATATTGTCCTGATTTAAATGTCAATTCAAATTCATCAGCTTATCATTAATTGTCAAAAATATTCATTGGCCTATTACGAAGCCTGTATAAGCAAGTCTTGTGTATTTTAGCATTTTATCCCAATTCATATTCACTTGATTCACTAGGCTCAGATTTGGATTACAGCTTATTCAATACTATTTTTGTGGTGTAAATTAGCATTATCATCAAAGTAAAGTAAATCGAAATATTGTACAATAAAAAGCTTATAATTCTAAAATTATTATTGTTATTTTCATTTTTTTTACAAATTTTATTAAGCAAAAACAAAATAAAACTAGTGAGTAAAAACATGCTTCCATACTTTTACGGAAAATGTGGATAATAATATTTTATTTGAAAGAATCTTTGTTTGTAAAAGGTATAATTGATGTTCATGCAAAATTTAATGAGAATTAATAAAGTTTGAATTATGTCTACAAGTATAATAAATAGAATAAAAATATTGTAAGTGAACGAACTGAAACATATTGCTTGTAAATGAAAAGAAATAAGAAGTCGCACTGCAAAAATAAATGTTTATTTCATGTTTCAAAAATAATTATCGAAACAGTTTTACCCATTGAAAGGTAGGTCTTGGTTTGGATTTGATGACGTCTTCACACTTTTCAATTATGTTTAAGAGTCATAGTAAACAGTGCACCTGCGTTGCTATGGTGACCGCTGCTGTTTTCTTTTTATTTTCACTAGCAGGCATTTTTAATGTATGAACATAATAATAATTTAAAGTATTTTTTTAATTATTATTATTAACATATAATTACTGGCTTGATGGTGATTTCAATATAAATATGAATGCTGAAAAAGGAAAAGTATTTTTTGACTTCTTGAAACACGTGCGTAAGGCAGGATTTGAAAATCAATCTGATGACAAACATCCATTAAGACAGTTTTTGCAACCCATGATTTGAAATGTGGCGTTTAACGGAGTCAATCCAGAGAGAAAAAGCATTTGACCATTGGTTAACCAGTGATCGTAATAAAACAATCACATTTTTTTTCTTCAAATAATTCTTTAATTATAACTTTTAATTGTTGTAAAAATATTGGAGACTTAATTGAATTTATTTTTCTAGAACCGAATGACAGAGAGCATGAAGTTGTTTGATTCTATTTGCAACAATAAATGGTTTGAAGAGACATCCATCATATTATTTTTAAACAAGAAAGATCTTTTTGAAGAAAAGATAACCAAGTCACCCCTTACTTTGTGTTTCCCAGAATATACAGGTATATTATCTAAAGTTGACATTTGGAAGTCATTATTTTAAATCACAATTAACACATTCTATTTACAAATGTTTTATTTTCCTCTTTACTATTAAATCCAAAACAGTTGTTCCAAAAATGTAGAACTACCATATGCTGTTTTTGAAATAAAATCATGATCATACATATAAATTCATCAGCATATCATTTTGGTGATGTTTAGTTTGTTAATGACTTTCGCATCTTTTTTGTTGACTTATTCCCTGTGTGTCTGTATTTTTTATGTCATGTTTTTTTTAAATTTTGTGCAGGAAATAACACTTATGAAGAAGCTGCTGCTTACATCAAGATGAAGTTTGAGAATCAAAACAAAAGGAAAAACACGAAAGAAATCTACACTCATTTCACGTGTGCCACGGACACCAACAACATCCAGTTTGTCTTTGATGCCGTTACTGATGTTATCATAAAGAACAATCTGAAAGATTGCGGTTTATTCTAGTTGTTAAGTAAGTGCTTCCTCTTTTTATAATCATACCAATTTTATTAACAAACTTTTCAGTATACTGGAATCTTTTATGTATTGCCATGATAACTCTATGGGTATATAAATTCACTAGATTATTTGAAGTAGTTTTATGGAAAAATAAAATACAAAAAACAGACTTCTAAACAAATTCATTTTGAAGTTAAAAATAGTTGAAGATTCTTTTGCAGTAAAATTTGCCTCTATTTAAATTGATCAAATCTTACTTTTTTTGAGTTGTGTCGCCCTTTTTAAATGTAGTCTCTGCTATATGCATGTTACCTCAAATGTCAACATGGGTGTTTGGTGAATGTCTTAAATATTTGTTATATTCGATTTGATATTAATTTATTTGTTGATGATATATTTTATTCAATATTTTGAGATCTGCTGAGTATTGATTGGGAGTACCGATTAACTTGACCACTTGAAAAAACAATGTAAGGCTGGACACTGGACCTTAAAAAAAAAAATCAGTGTACGGTATACCTGTCAAATGTATACCTTGGGTCTGTCCAGGGTATATTTACTACCGTTTAGCGGTACCTTCACAAATTCAACTTTAGGGAAAACGGTAGTTTCACAAAATACTTTTAATAAAGCAAGTTCTCATGCAAACCTCGTTCTTGTTGCAAAAGAGTAGCTTTTTTGCCAGATGTCTTTTACGAAAATGTAGAACATGTTTGGTAAGATACTGCAATATGGTAAGCCTAACTGGTCGCTCACAATGGGTCATATAAAAGCTTTTTTTTTTTTTAGCTGTGTTTTTTTTAAAAATGAAACAACGAGGATCTTCCTTTGCAAATTTTACAGAAAGTCAAAATTCGAACATTATTATGAGCATTGGAACATTATCTTAAACACTATTGTAAATTTATTCTAACAGACCTTTATTTTTTATGAAACACTTTTTTTTCCATGAAACTTTTTATTGTATGACCTAATCGAAAAATGTTCTAACTTTTAGTGTTAATACTGTTTAAATGCATGTTTATATTAAATTCAAGTTGAAATTTTACTATGGACAATTATTTTTATGGAATTTTAAAATTGGATGCAATTTTAAGCCCACAATTTTACAATAGCAAAATTATCTTTTTATATGGGGAAAAATATATAGAAATTTACCTTTCATAAAGGATTTTTATTTAAAGTGACAATTTTTGAAAATATTTTCGTACTTTACACTATTTTTGTGTTGAGTTTTTAATAAAAATTTTTATTTTCACAAATTATGTCTAAATTTTCACAAAATTTAAACCTTTCAAAAAATACCAGACAGACCCCTGTATGCACTTAACTGGACCACTTAAGGCAGTGTTACGGTCTAGTTAAGGCAATGGCGCTTAACTAGACCTAGTATATATTTCAGACATTTACCAAAGTGACTACGTAATTGTCAACAACCACCAATTTTGGTCATTCACAGTAACATGCATATCATTAAAAAAAAAATTTAAAAAAATTCTAGTTTTCTTTTGAAAAATGTTTTGACTTTTTGTTTGTCCCATTGGCTTTTCCTACTAATATGAATTTTTTAAAGTTGTGTACTTATATTTTATTTATATATGTATAGATATCTTATTGAATGGAAAGTTAAGAAAAAAAGGTATGCTGATGAAAATTGCTTTTATTTTAAATCGTATGATAGAAGATTAGAAAAGTCTACTCCAAGTTTTATTTTTTTGGAAAAACATTTGTACATTCCTGTCAACAGATTTGTAGCATTTTAATAACTGTGTTATTTCTTTTTGAAGATTGGCAACTTCCGCATATCTAGAAATACTGAATTGAGGATTAGCTGTCATCTAAGACAAAAACCTTGTTGTGTGAACTGTGAGATGCCTTTAACTCATAAAGTATTAAAAAATGTTGCACGATTGTGGATTTATGTATGATTTATACCTGTATTTATCAGTTATATGGGACCAAAATAATGTGTATAACATTATTTTTAATGTATTATGTTCTATAGCAATTTTGTATTGTATCTTGCCCTAGCCACATATCAAAAAACTGTTGTTAACATGTATTTACAAGAATATAATATTTTTTAAACTAAATGGTGTTTTTGATATCGAAGGTGCCGCGAATTTTTTAAATGCTTTTTCAATACGTTCCAATTTCCCACTTTAATGTATAGAATTTTTTTAAGCGACTTGCACAAATTTTATATACATATATATTACTTATTTTTTAAATTAAATTTATGTCTGTTTCATTATTCTATGAGAACTTTATAGCTTGCATTTTATAGTGTTGTATATGACAGTTGTGTATAAATAAAATTTAACTTTTGTATAACAGCCAGTATTTTCTACAAATTTTGAAAAGTGCTACTATTTTCTAATGGCTTTTACTGTTACGAATTAAATGTTAAACATCAAAACTTTATTTAAGTCAATATTGTAACTGTGTAAGTTGATTATTAATATTTTCAATTATACAAATATGCTTTAAAATAACATCCATTATATTTGTACATTTTCTAAAAGTTAATGTTTCGGAAATTTAATGCACGATTATTTGAGTGATATGTCTATGTGACAAAATATAAATCACTATGTCAGATTCAGACATGAATATGTCTCAAAACACCCTTCTGGCCAAAATAGTTGTAAACAGGATTGTGGTAAAAATGGTGCTAAATCCAAATACAGAAAAATTTCTATTCTGCTAAAAGAGATCTTTTGTCCAAAATCTAATTTATTAATGTATGGATATCTTATTTATATGCACATTATCCAATTAAACTAGACATTTCCTGAGGGTTAGGAAATGTTGCCACTGTGGAATCTGTGAGAATGAGAGTAAAAAACAGTAACATCAACAGTTGAGAGCTTGGCTGTGCATTTTTGTAGTAGGGCTTATTACTGTGCTGAAACTGTTAGGTCATTTTTGTATTATAGAAAGAGCTGTCTATGATTATTTGCACTTAGTTGTAACTGTATATATATTTCTTTCGCTTTTAAGTGCATTCTTTATTTTTTTTCTATTTGCAATTCTTTTTTTTAAATTAAATTTGTTATTAACCTTTTTAAACACTTAATGATAGTTGCATTTTCATTGATCTTGTTATGGAATCTGACAATGACTAACACTGACATGGAATCTGTAAATTCAAATTCTAAAGAAATAATTATTTCAATGTAATTATTGCACTAAAATATCCATGATTGAAATTTGCTTTAATGAGATTCTGCTGTGTTTTGATTTCTTATTATTTGATATCGACTTAGTCTCTCTTTTTCTTTTTTTTTATGCGACACAGCATAACAAGTTATGACAAATATGTATACGATAAGAGATTATCTAAGATGTTCAGCCAAAGAAAAAATAAATTCAATACAAGTAAAAAAGTGTTTTAATTGTACAATTTTTATGTATAAAATAAAATTGAAGAGTATTTATATAAATTTATCTAAAATTTAAAAGAAATTCTAGAAAAATGTTGAATCAAATATGATGAAACTTGGTAGCCAATCATGTAAAATCGCAAAATGCATGTAAAAATTGGATAAAAATATGCAAATTACCAAGTAATACATATTTTTATTTTTTGCAGGGTGGGTTTTATTTTTTCAAAGGAGTTATTTTTTTTCTCTTCTTCTTCCAAACTTTAAATTTTGTAAATTTATTTCATATATTTCTTATAGGTCTCTTGATTAAAAAATATTAACAACTTTTTTGGATCAACTATTAGGTTTTTTATTGTAACAAAACTTCAAACTTTGTTATTTTTGGATCACTCTGGAACTGTTATTAATGATTGTTTTTTAATAAAAGGGAAACAAATTTTATATTTAGACTTTAATTGTGACATTCTATGAAAAGCCTTTTATACACCCATTCTGTTGTTAGCATTTTGATATTGTTTTCCCTCATATGGATGGCATAATATAGAATTAAGTTTTAAACTAGGGTTCGCCAACCTTTTTGGAATACCACAACTAACTATTTTTTATTGTTTTCATCTTTTCGATTTGTAATGGCACAAGTGGTTGATGTGCTGAGCTGTAATTGTGTAAAACTGAGTTTTCCAGGGTTCCCAAGGATCAGGTAGAACAGGGAAAACCTGGAATTGTCTCTAGCCTGGACACAATAATATGAAAGCGCCACCCATAGAGGAAACCAATATAGTCTAAACTAAAGAAAGAGCTTATATTTTTTTGAGATTAATATTTGGGGACAAAATTGTCTCTTTGCTATTTCGAACTAACATACTTGATGGAAATGTGTAAAACATTTATTTCTGTTAAAACGCTCAAAAATATATTTGTAGGATGCACCACTCTCTATTAAAATTGGCAAAAACCCCCCCTCCCCCATCAGACATAGTTCCTAGCAGTGTTTATTTTTGTGTATGCAATGTAGTCAGGAGTCTGTCTAGGCAGAATTTACTACCGTTTAGCGGTACATTCACAAATTCAACTTCAGGAAAAACGGTAGTTTCACAAATTCATCTTTAGGAAAAACGGTGGACACAAAATACTTTTTCTTATAATTTTAATTTTTGCATCCCTTAAGAAACGATAAATCCATATTTTTGTGTTAATTTTTTAACATAATTTTAAATTTTTCACAACCTATGTCTAAATTTTCACAAAATAGGTACCTCTCAGAAAAACCTAGACAGACCCCTGGTAGTAAGATTTTAACTTTACTTTGATACAGTATACCTGCACTGCTGCTAGTTATACAGTCGAATCCTGTTTTAGCAAATTCCTAAGCAATTTCTAATAAAGAAAATTCTTTATACCAATATTACAAATTTCAACATTAACCAAAATTATTTTGTCAATTATACCAAAATTATTTTGTCCAAAATTATTGTGTGGAATTTTTCGCATAAAAAGATAATAAGTATTGCATTTAATTACAGTTTTGATCTATTTGTACTCAACATATATAAATTTCAAATCCATATTTTAAAAGCAATTTAAATTAAAACGAACAATGGATTTCATATCATTTAGCTGTCAGAAAATACGTAATAACTGTAATTTTATTCTGCACAAATAATTTAAGAACCAGTTGTAATTACAAACTGCACCAAATTCTGCACATTTTCAAACAACTGAAGTGGAAATCACTCTTTTGGAAAGCCACATGTATTTTTTACTTCTTCAAACAAGAATGGGTTGGAGTCTCAGGATGGTCCCTTCCGAGTGATTTGTCTTTTTTGACATGTCCCTTTCATATCTGAAACTTTTTTTTATTTTGAAGATGCAAAAATATTTGAATTCAGAGATCATTGTGTACTTTTGAAGAATTGAACAGTGTTTTGATCGTGAGAGAAAATGAGAATTGTCGCTTATTTTCACCATCGCTGAATCGGATTGCGAGTGTCGTAATATTGGTATTTCTTTCATTCGTCGTTTCTACGGAGATTCATTCGGAAAATATTCGTTACGTTGAAATTTTCGGATTTCGCTAAACTGGATTTGGCTGTATTGCCAAATTTAAAGTGTCTGAACTTCATTTTTATTTATGAGAAATTTTTTATTTTATTAGGTTACATTATTTTACTCGAAATTTTTTTTTTGTTAACTAGTTTGAGAGGGAAGCTGGCTCACGCCGAGCAGATTTTCCAACACTGTTACCTCGTTTAGACTCTAGTAAAACGTATAATCAAAGATATAATATTCTTTGTTATGATAAAGAATGCATACATTTAGGTGTATGTATATATGCTTCATAATTTTTTGTTATTGTATGTTTACAATTTCGTAAGAGTCTCGAGAATTTCTACTCTGTATTTTGATGTATATTTTATGGGTTGATATTCTAACATGCCAAATTTTATGTACTGTTTGCAACCAAATTTATTTGTGTTTCATGTTGATTGCAATGCACAATAGTTGTAGGTAACCATTTTTCAATTGAGGATTAATGAATTTTTTTTTTCTTCCTTCAAATATATCTGAGATTTTCAATGGCATCCTTCATGATTAAAAAATTTTTAGGATGCGGCAAAACTAGATCCCCCTCCCATGAACTAAACTGGCAATTTTTAGGTGAATTTTATTGAGCATTTTATGTAATACTGATTTGATGAAATCTATGTAAGTTGACAGAATTGATGAACTGACAACAATTTGATAGTTCATTTAAAAGAGTGGTCAACATAAGGGAATTTTATGCCAGTTTGGTGCTTGGTCATTAACAGGGTGCGTAGCTTTTTTAAAAAGTGCTTTTTTTTATTCTGGGTTTTTAAAAAGTGCGTAATTTTCTATTTTTGAAAAAGAGATTTTTTCTTTGCCGTGTCGATTGTCTAACTAAATTACAAAAAATGCATGCACAATTTTCTCTGCGACATCTATCAAAAACTAGTTTTTTTTTTATCATGATTATGTAAAGTTTTTGAATTTTATGTTTATAAATTAAGAACTTAAAATGATTGAGAAAAAATTATTACTGCCCAGATCCTAATTATGAATTTTTTTTTTGGAAGGTGATTTAAAAGATGCTTATTTTTTGTTGAAAAGTCTGGCTGCGCTCCCTGATTAAGATTAACTTAGAAATGTGTTTTATATACATGGTTGGTCAAATTTAATATGTTTAATTGTACATGTGTTTGAAAATGATGTAATTTAAATTTCATGTATAATATGGAATAACTCATGAGCTATTATCATATCATGTATTGGTTTAAAAGGGGAAGTTTTTTTTCTTTTAATTATTTGATTATTAATGGTTTGTTATGAAAATATTAATTGCGCTAATTGTAATGTTTTTATTCATTTCTGTAAAATTTTGGAACTTTTTACCTTGTATTTTTATCTGTACATTTTAAAAAACATAATAATCTGTGACTATTGTAAAAAAAAGAGGCTAGTTTTCAATATCTAATTGTTTTAAAATAGTTGGAATTGTTTTTTTCTTCTTCTTTTTCATGTAAATAATTATGACTGCATTTATTTACAGTTACATTCCTACAAAGTTCATTTGCATATTTATCTTTGAATGAGATTGAAATTATATTTTTTTGTATCTGGTAGTAAAAATTTCATGTGTTTACTGTTCTGATGCCTCTCTACGAATAATTGAGGTGTAAATTTTCAGAATTTAAATAAAAATTATTTAAAAAAAATTGTATTTCCTTATTATTGTTTGAAGTACCATTCAGTCTGTTTCAAAGAGCTTGTTTTTGTATGCATAGCCCCTATTATTTTCTAGCTGAACACTGCTAAAGAGTGACAAGAGTGTAGCGGGGGGGGGAGTGTATAGTAAATCTTGATCCCCCTGTGTAAGTTAGTGACAAATTTTAGCGAGTGATTTTTAGTGAAAGAAAAACGTAATTAATTTTCATACACTGTAGAGAATGGATTCGATACCAAAGATAGCTGTTTGATTCGAATTCCGCTCCCGGCCACAGTGCAGACGTAAAATATCCACGGTGAGTTGGAGTCCCCTTGCCGTCAGCCTAACTGGCGGAAGTTTTCGTGGTTTTTCCTTTCCCTGTAACACAAGTGCGGGTAAGTTCCATCAAAAAGTCCTAAATGAAGACAAATTTCTCCCAATACTTAATCCAGAAATTTCCTTGTCTTCTGGATTGGGTTCAAAATTACTAGGCTGCGGAGTTGAACACTAGTAGCCGTAAACCCAAAAAATTGGATCGGCTGTTGTTAAATAAAATAGGGAGATTTCGCTCTTTTACGTTAGCTTCAGTACCTAAGATACAAAGAATCTTACTCCAGTCCACATAAAGTTATTAATAGTTATGAAAAATTCCATTTTTTAAAAAAATTTATGTTATGTTCATTGTTTGCCATATGTCTAAATTTTCACAANTTTTATCTGTACATTTTAAAAAACATAATAATCTGTGACTATTGTAAAAAAAAGAGGCTAGTTTTCAATATCTAATTGTTTTAAAATAGTTGGAATTGTTTTTTTCTTCTTTTTCCTGTAAATAATTATGACTGCATTTATTTACAGTTACATTCCTACAAAGTTCATTTGCATATTTATCTTTGAATGAGATTGAAATTATATTTTTTTGTATCTGGTAGTAAAAATTTCATGTGTTTACTGTTCTGATGCCTCTCTACGAATAATTGAGGTGTAAATTTTCAGAATTTAAATAAAAATTATTTAAAAAAAATTGTATTTCCTTATTATTGTTTGAAGTACCATTCAGTTTGTTTCAAAGAGCTTGTTTTATTTTCTAGCTGAACACTGATAAAGAGGAACAAGAGTGTAGAGGGGGGGGGGAGTGTATAGTGAATCATGATCCCCCTGTGTAAGTTAGTGACAAATTTTAGCGAGTGATTTTTAGTGAAAGAAAAACGTAATTAATTTTCATACACTGTAGAAAATGGATTCGATACCAGAGTGTAGCTGCTTGATTCGAATTCCGCACCCGGCTCACACCGACCACAGTGCTGACGTAAAATATCCATGGTGTGTTGGAGTCACCTTGCCGTCAGCCTAACTGGTGGAAGTTTCCGTGGTTTTTCCTTTCCATGTAAAGCAAATGCGGGTAAGTTCCATCAAAAAGTCCTAAACGAGGACAAATTTCTCCCAGTACTTAATCCAGAAATTCCCTTGTCTTCTGTATTGGGTTCAAAATTACTAGGCTGCGGAGTTGAACACTAGTAGCCGTAAACCCAAAAAATTGGGTCGGCTGTTGTAAAATAAAATAGGGAGATTTCGCTCTTTTACGCTAAACGCTCTTTTACGAAAGAATAAAAGCTCACGAAAATGACCAATGGCACGAGACAATTCCAGTAGCCCTATTGGGAATAAGAACAGCCATCAAAGATTTAAATTCTTCAGCTGAACTCGTATATGGATCTCCGCCATGCGAGATGTTTGAAAACGCAAAGCGAACTACATATAATGAATTCATTTCACAATTACGAAGTCATATGCAGCAATCAACACCAACTA